ATATATATAGATAAAAAACTTTTGCTAGAAGTCGACAAAGGCGTAACAAAAGCAGAACTCGAGCCGTTCACTGCTGCTCACTTTCTTCTTGGCTTGGCTATCTCTGGCAACGGTTAAATGAGAAAACTTTGGAATTCCGAGCTGAATTCGAGGCGGAGCAGGCGGCGACTGCACTGCGAGCATAGGCTATGCATAATTATGAACTCTAGCCGACTCTAGCTGATGCTCTACAATGATTTCTTTACTCTTCTCGTTGCAGGAATATCCGACTGCGCTGGACTTTAGTGCGCCGCCGTTGCCGCTGGCGCATCTGCAGCCCATGCAGCCCATGCAGCCCATTACGGTTACCTCGCAGGCGGCGCTGCTGGCGGCGAGCAATGGCGGCGCCACGCTGGTGGGCAATGGCAGTGCCACAGGTGGCACGCTGCGGCGCGGCATCTTGCGCGGCGTGGTGGGCGTCGGCGTGGGCGTGCCACCGCCAGATGTTACGCATCACACCTCCGGCTCCGCCTCCGCCGGCGGCAGTGGCATGCAAATGCTGCACGATCTGCATCCGGTGAATCTCAGTGCCACCACGCTGACCACGAGCACCACGCTCAATGGCAGCATGACGACAGCATTGCCGCTGGCCACATCGACGCTGCCCCGCCAGCCGCACGGCATACTCAAGGATCCCAATCGCAATAAGCAACAGCAGCAGCAGCAGCAGCAGCAACAACAACAGCAGCAACAGCAGCAGCAGCTGCTCAATGCTAGTTTAGTGGGCGTGCCCGTCTCGGGGGCCGTGGGCAGTTTGCAGATTCTGAATCTGAATCCGGTGAGCAACGCGGCGCTGGGCAACAATCTGCTAATGACTACGAGCGCCACCTACGACCCGGCCACGCTGAGCAGCTTCAATGCGAGCGCCGCTGGCGTCGGCGCTGCAGTCGGAGCTGGCGTCCAGGTGGCCTACACAGATGCGGATGGGCATCTCGTATAGCTGTAGGCCGAGACTGGGGCCAGCTCTGAGTCCCGGTACTAAGGATGGCGCCCAGTCTGTCCAAGCATCTACACATATACATATACATACAGGCATACACATCTACACAGATATACATACTATATCTATACATATATATATATATAACTAACTGTACTCCACACTCGACTCGTAGCTAGTTTAGAAGCTTTCCCTCTCTACATTTAAATGTGTGTTTGACTGTGTGTGTGTGTGTGCGTGTGTGTGCACAGAAGTATATCCTAGATGTGTGTTATACGCCAGGAGAAGAAGTTAACAACTGCAATTAGCAGATACCCTGTGAAAGGATAAAAGCTAGAAAAGCTTTATGTGATGACTCTAGCTAAAAGATTTTACTGCTTCTATCAGAATAATTATAGGGTATAAATAAATAAAACAAATGATCATTAGGCAGATACTCCTTAAAAAGTTAACAGCTTGGGTAGTCATGAAGGAAAATGGAGGAAAATGTAGAGAAGAGATAGACTATGACATGGCTTCTGCTAGCTGCAGCATACACCACATGATAAATGCAGTACAGGGTATGCAAGCAGCAAATGCCCTGTAAGGAGTAAAATCAATATGTAGAGAGTTGTATGCTACCCCATGCGATAAACTGCTTTGCAGAGTATAGACAGGACTTCAATTATCTTATTTAAAGAATTTACATACCGTGTAAAACGCCAACAACTGAGGTAGCTAAGCACGAAATTTCATTTCAATAGTGTAACGTCAGGTTTTCTGCCACTTTCGCCTGCCTCGCATACCCCACTCGCCCCCTTTGGGATTGCAGAGTATTGCCAGTGCCCATTACCTTATTCAAATCAGCTACAGAATTAGTTTATGTAAATTTTTAAAACGATTCTCACTTGCCCATAAGACACTGCACGCTGTTTATTCAGATAAACAAGCCCCAAAGACGATCTCATGCCGCTGACCAGTTCGTCTGCTCGCATCTCCATCTGTCTCCGTCTGTCGCTTTGTCAGTCCGCTGGAGGATTTGCGTTTTGCTAATTAGCTTTCGCAAGCAGCAATAACAGCAGCCATAACGAAAAACTTTGAGCGGGACGACAGCAAGGGCAGCAGGAGCAGTGGCAGCAGGAGCAGCAGCAGGAAGCGGTCAAAATTTTTGGGAAATTAGTTCAGTGGAACGAACGACACAAAGAGCCGCGCAGCCGTTTGACAGCTCCCTGGGGCGTGCTCAGGCCTCAAGTCGATGGGCACGTGATTGCGCTAGAGGAGCGCTCACTGGGCGTGGCCAAAAAAAAATGGAAAAGTTAAAGCGAACTAGTTGGGAGTGCACGACTAGATGATACCCTGAGACTGAAACTGAAACTAAAACTGAGACAGACAGACAGACTGGGACTGGGACTGAGACTGAGACTGAAACTGAGACTGGGACTGAAACAGAGGCTGAGACAGACTGAGACTGAGACTGAGACAGAGATAGAGACTGAGACAGGCTGAGACTGAGACAGACTGGAACTGAGACCGACTGAGACAGAGACTGGGACTGAAACTGAGACAGACTGAAACTGAGATAGAGAGACAGGGGAACAGACGAATAGACAAACAAAAACAACGGAACTGAGACTAAGGCAGCAGGAATACTTCAAACGGGTGCAGACGGTCGACCCATCTATACATCATGAAGTCTGCCACGCCTCCTTCTGCGCGTTACATACAAGCAGCAAGAAGCGATTATGCCCCGCTATCGCATTTGCCATTAGTTCAGGGTATAAGCAGAGCGCAAACAGTTGACAGCAGCTGCAGGAGCAGCAGGAGCAGCTGGAGCAGTGTTTGAGCGTTTTCAGTAAAAGTGCTTGAGCTGATGCTGGAAGTTAAAGCGCCATCTTAGCGGATGGGGGTGTAGCTAGTGGAGGCAGCTGCCACGCCCAGTTGAGATTCACATTATGTGCAGGCAACGCAGTTGTTTTGGCATATTCAAAGGATTCATTCGCCTGCTTGCGGTGCTTGCGATCTATCCATCTGCTTATAGGTACCATTATTGTCTTAACCCACCAACCGCACCACCAGCACCACCATCAGCCTTTGGATGGAGTCTTAAGTGCTTGCCGCACATTTGCTGCTCGTCGCAGCCCAGCGAGCGTGACATGCTCATCTTGGGGACGCCATTAACTTCTGCTAGCCGCGCTGGAGCACATCATGACAATTCTATTATGTGGAGCATCAATGCAATGCGAGCACCCTTAGCACCCTTAGCACCCTTAGCTGCCTGGCATCCTTTGCCAAGGGCAAATCTAGATGACAGAAGCGATGTCAGTCTGTGTGTGTGTGTGCATGTGCCTCTCTCTCTCTGTATGTGTGTTAATTAATATTCATCGAGCTGTAATTACCAAGTCTCTCACACTAATGCAGTCGCAGATAAACGCAGCTGCAGGCAAAGCGAGCAAAAAGAGAAAAAAAGAAATCCTCTTCGTCTATTCGATTGACTGACTGTGCTGAGTGAAAGTAATTAAAAACGAAATTAAATATATTTCGAAATTCAATTCAAGCCAGAGCAAAGACAAAGAAATTTGCAAGCAGCGCAACTAAAAAGTCGAAAATTCACCAAAAGCAAAGCAATCAGAGAGGCCAACAGCTCAGCCATGGACTATACATATCTTTGGGCTGATGAATGTCTGAGACTGTTTGTATGTGTATGTATGTATGTTTATCAATTTGAAAAGGCCCTTGCATGCTCTTGCAGCCCGCACGATTGTCACGCCTGGCGTTTGCTGTCTGCGTTCGCCTTTCGCCTTTCGCTGGGATTTCCGCTATTGAATAATTGTGATTGCCGTTCCCAGATAAAAGTTAAATGAGCAGGAAAATAAATAAAATTATAATGGAGCTTAATGCCCACGTGAGGGGTATGGGGTACTGGAGCAGCACGCACTATATACTTGGTACACTTGAAGAAAAAACCTAGCAAGATAGTACACCAATTCAATACAACTTTGTCAAAAGAAAAGTAAAAGCATTTCAGCTACACTTGGAAAAATAATCTAGCTAGGTGTTTAAACGAACTTTGTCAAAATTAAAGTAGCAGAATTTTACTCCTTTGGGTGTGCCCTTACCAGAACCAGAACACAACCCCTTTTTCTCTGAGTGTGCCCAAGTTTGACTGTATTTATGTTTCGAGGCAACGTATTTATTTAACGTTCAAAAATATTCAATCCATAGTTTCTTGCTTCGCTATAGACGTCCAAATTTCGAACCATATGCAGACAGACAATAAATGGAAATACTTTTTGGCACGAATAACTTGCAGTGAACATAAATATGAGCAGAAATTTTGATATAACATCTAGAATGAGTCACACGCACACACACCCACACACAAGCACACAGAGCTAAACATATGTAAAGCTTATACTCACATAGGTCTGCCAAAATTGCATTAAAATAAAGAAAAAACGAAAAGGAAAAGCATTTAAAATAAATTCTAGAGATAAGTAGCTAAGCGAACTAATTAATTAAACACAGGAAGAGAGAGTGAACGGAAAGGGGAAGAAATAAGGAAAAGAGAGAGAGAAAATCAATAAACTGGTATGAAAAAAAAAATAAGAAAAGAAAAACAAATAAAAAGTTAGAGCAGGAATTTCGAACTACTCAATCAATATGCCAAAATTTAATTTGTACAATAAAAAGCGAAAACTAAACTAAGAGCGAAAAAATAACATTTATGTAAAAGGACAAATGCAGGTACACACACACATACAAACAAATACATACTTATATATAGTAAGAAGACAGTCATACAAGCATAATTAATATATATACATATATATATAAAATAAAAGTAGTATAAATTTCACATCTCGTACGTGTAGAACTGTGTGTTGTTGGACTAATTGTCTCAGCTAAACCCCTAAGCAAGCTGTTCCCGAATAACTTACATAATGTGTGAATTAACATTAGAGTCTAAGAACATTTAATCACCACCAAGCGATAGAGCGAGAGAGAAAGAGGAAGGGAGAGTGAGAGAAGGGAATACAAAAATTCCAATACTCAAAGTCTATCAGTGTGTCTCACGCATATACTAACTATATATATATAATGATATATAGTCTATATATATATATAGATTATCTTGCTGGTTTTTTAAACGTATAACTATCGCACTTGATGAATATATCTCGATTATAATGGCATGTAAAGCATATGAGCATAGATTTTTATACAGCGAAAACAGAAGGAATAGAAGAGAAAAACAATTACAAATACGGCAATCGGTTGATATCGACTGCATAATACTCGTTCACGTTTAATAAAAGAGCTAGATTATTTAATGGGAGATCTTTAACATGCTGTTCTTTTATCATATATATAGGAAACCTCTAAAGAGGTTCTATTATAAAATTTTATCTCTTAAATTCAAAGATCTTTTAGACCTTACAAAAAAAGACAAAAATTAAAAATACCTTTGCAAAATTTCTAGACTCTTTCTATCATATTCTATATAAACATGACAACAGAACACATATACTCTCTATACACAACGTGAACGAGTATTCGAAACTAAAATGTCTTCCCCGCATAATAGAGAATACTTATTTGTGTGTGTGTGTATTTTTAAGATGGCTAATTAAATTAATTTTAAATTAATTTATAAACTTAACATATAATTCTTTCACATACACACACACACGCACACACAGTGACAGCTATGGTACGAGCATGTATTTATTTAGTTTGTAATGCTAACATATGAAAATGGGGGAAAACTAAATAAGACTTAAGCACAAATTATGTTAAATTATTAGAGGTAAATATATGGATAAGTTTTATTATTATTACAATTATTATTATTATCATTATGATTATTATGCTTATATTGTAGTTAAAAGCAAGGCCAAAGAGATTTGTTAACAAAGCAAATAATTATTTACCAATTGATTCAAAGTGTTTTCTACTTAATTCGGGCCGAAGTCACAGTTATAACAAAATAAAATATATAAATAAAAATTCTCTTGTTAATACAGCATATGTAATATGTTTAAATGTAGTTTAATGGAACCGAAAGGACAAAAGACTTGAAATACTGAATTTAGTTTAATTGTAATTCAAAACTCAAGCAACGTAACTAGCATACAGAACAAGAGAATGGAGAATGGAGAAAGGAGAAGAATGGAGAAAGCAGAAGCTACTCATAGACATAGATAAAGAAGCTAAAGAATAAATGGGAAAATATATATAACCAAAAACGATTTGACTATTGTGAATGTTTCTTTAAATGGTGATGATAATGATTTCGATTACATTTATGTAGCATCTATGCAAAATAAGATACAAACATAGCTAAGCTGTTGTACAGAAGCCAGAGATTAAAACAAAACAATAAGAAAACAAAAACAAAACAAACAAAAAAATTAAAATTAAATATAAGTTTATTTGCTAAAAAAAGAAACAAAAAAATTCGGAAAAAATTGAAAAAAAAAAAAATATATATATATAAATTAATTTGATGGAATGGGGTTAATGCATATGAAATTTATTGCATTTTTAAGAAATCTGTTAATATATGAATACAAAAGGAAGAAAACAAACAAATAAAAAACAAAAAATAAAATGCAATGCATTCACATTTCAATTCGAAGAGAACTATTTAATGGTGAAAACTTTCGCATCAATTTTCATCGAGCGAAAATAACACTAACACACGCTGCGAAACAAAAGAAGGACAAAAGGAGGCAGCCAGGCATCCTGCCAGGAGGACGTTGAGAGATTGAGGCAAACAAACGTGTGTGTGTGTGTGTGTGTGCACGGCTGCTCTGGCAAAGAAGAGGCTGCGAATTTGGGGGTTCGGGTGTGGAGGGGGGGGGGCGTGGCGTAGCGACGCCCTCAAGAAAGTATCCACTATTCGTCTTACTTGCGTGGTGCGGCGCAAAAAAAATTGAATTCCTTGTTAAACTTACGAGCTGGCATTAATTTAACAGCAGCTCCCAGCAGCGGCAGCAACAGCAGCGGCAGCAGCAGCAGCGTAGCCCCAGTTTCAGATTGCGTATACGGCCCATTGGACATGTGATGTGTGCGTGCATTATTTTTACTCTCACTGTGACTTTATGATGCTCGTTCGATGCTCCTCGCCACGTTCCGTACGTCTGGCCAAATCGCAGCTCGTATTTCATTTAAATTGAACTTAATTAGTTCCGCCAAACTGCCAAAGAATGCTTTAACAGACACACCCACACACACACACATACACACACATAGTCTTGGCTTTGCCCAGCCATCGATAAAGCACTTTGAGGTGAAGATAATGCGCCTTTGGGCTGCTCTTTCAATAAATAGCTGACGAAGTGCTCGCTACTCTGGATGCTTGCAGCCTTTGCGCAGCTCTAAAAGGATTAACGCGCGCCCCAAAGAAAATTCGCCTTGAAGCGCGCGGGCAGTTCATCTCTTTGAGTAAATGGAAAAGTTTTGTTAGTACGCCACCTTGGCCAAAACTTTATCCACAGCAACTAGAGACACACAAACAACCAAAACAGCCAAAAAAAAAATATCAGCAGAAGCCAAGCTGCAGCTGGTCAAAATCAGAGCAGGCAGCGAGACAGGCAAAACAAAAAGGCCATTTGCCATGGCTCTGGAAAAGTTTTTTGTGGGCATAATCATTGTCACGGCCATTGTCGAGGAAATTTACAAATTATCATGTCCAACAAAAAATTGAACGCGTACCAGAGACACTGCCAAATGGAGGGGCACAGCGCATTCAAAAGAAAGGTAGGCGAAATAAAAATATATATATTTATATATAAAGATAAAAAATGCATTAAAACATTTTGTTGCACACTTTTGAGCAGGTGAGAAAAATAGTGGCATGGAACCATTTTTTTTTTTTTTTACTTTAGCAGATTCTTTAATTTGTAAAAATACAATAATTTAAAAATTATATAAATAATATATATGTACATAATATGATATATATACATTATTTGCTTATACACTAGAAAAAATATACAATTTAAAACATTTTTATTTGTAAATATATACATCATCAAAATTAAGTAGGTAATAAAAAAAACCGTTTATATAATTCAATAAAAAAGTTCTTTTGAACATAAAATAAGCTGGTCTACTTTCATTTCAATGGCAACATTTTAACGAGCTATGAAAAAAAAAATGTAAACAATCGACGCACAAATAAAATACATATTTATTACATCGACACACGAGGCGACAGCTGGCGAGCCGAGGCACCAGGTGAACAGAAATGAATTGGAGGAGGTCAAAATGTTATTTAAGAGAGACTTAACAGCGTGCTGTTAGTGAAGGCGACATAAGCAGCGCATGTACAGAATAATGTTAGCTAAGAAAGTTATGTTATAATAACAGCCAGCTAACATGGAGAGACAAAAGAAAGACAAAATTTAAAAGGAGAAGAATAAATCCGATATATCTGTGCCGATTTATGAAAGACTGTTGCCTGAAAGTTAACATATATAATGCCAAGAATATGTAAGATATAGGTGTAATACATACATATATGTATATGTTTTATATGAAAAGCTAAGTCTAAGGAAATGTGACATATAAAAAACTAGATTTACATTTTATGCTATATATACAAACATATCTATTCAAAATGTGGGATAAATAAATTCCAAAAAATATGAAATAATATAAAATAAAATATCAAATTTTCATCTCCATAAGTTGTTTGATCAAACATTTCAAACTCGTAGCAGTTAAAGTTCTTAAATCATTTATTATTTTAAATGCTTTTATAAACTGCCATTTAGATAAATATTTCTGGCCGTATTTGCTTATGAAACAAGCTTCGAGTAAATAGTCTTAAATGCATGGATTAGAAGTCAGTGCCATATAGATGCAGTCGGCTGGAATGAAATCACGTTGCGCTTGCATAAACAATTTGTTATACTTAGATGGGATGCTGTAGCTGGGCATTAGCCAACTGGAAACTGGAAACTGAAATCTAGAGTTACGCATATTCATTCCGGTTTGCTCTGGCTAAACCAAAACAAAGTGCGCCAAGCACCAAACACGCATCGCAAAATCCTTCATTGTGGCTGAGCATTCTATGCATGCATAGCAGAGCTGAGTAGAGCTGAGCAGAGCAGAGCAGAGCAGAGCGTAGCGTATCCTTATTTGCAACGCAAGTCGGGCTTTTGTTTGGTGCCTTCGCAAAATTCATTTCGAGGCATAGAAAGATTTTAATATGCAGCACTTTATCGCTGCATTGCAGTGGTGGGCATCAACCAGCCACACACACACACACACACACACACACACAGCATCGTCGAAGGGGGCTCACACACATGGCTAATTTATGCTCAAAGTTGGCTCAATGTTTATTCTTACAAGGATGAAGCAAGGGGAAGGGCAAAGAAGGCTGCAAAAAGGATTTGCAATGCACAATAATTTACATTACGCATCCTGCGCATCATAGAATGAAACTTTTCAACTTGAAAGAAACTTATATCAAGCGCTTCCAATTGAATACATCACACTCACTCTACCTCTCTCTCTCTCTAGCAGACATTTACATATGAGTGAATGTGAGTGTTGAGTAACGTTTTCTTGGCTGCCATTTCATTCATTAAATCATCATTTTTGCCAAGTTCAAGTTGAATGAAATGAATGTCTGGGCAGGCATTTAAAATATGCATATAAATACATATATTAAGACTTGTGTTATTTTTATCAAGTCTATTACACAGTTCCCATATTAGATATGTATGTGTCTTGGGCACTTAGCGAGCCACTACTCAAAAATAAGTTTATACAAGAAACAATTTGCTGTGGCTGAGATGTTTATGTTATTTCTGTTTAATCTATACGAAGTCAGCTAGCAAAACAGCTGTTCCAAATACTTGGCCGAACAGCGGCCTCTGGCTACAGGCAGTGAGAGGGAGAGAGAGAGAGAGGACCAAAAAGGTGAGTGAGAGAGCGAGAGCGAGAACACGAGCGAAACTGACAAGCAACAGGCAACAAGCTGCCAGCCGACAGTCGCCCATTCAAGTGCCACGCCCACTCAACCCACTTACACGCCGAGAGCAGTGCTTATTGCCTTCGTGCAACAGTGTGACGAACTAATGCGAAAAGACATGAAATGTGAGCTAGAAAAGTTGATTGTTTGAGTCCCAAATTAAAACATGATTATAATATAATAAAACATTATTAAAAACTAATTAAGTCAAATTAAAAATTAATTATAATTTAAATTAAATAATACATGCTTTCATTAGAAAAAATATTAATATTTTTAGGTTTAAATAATAGTAATTAAAGTAAAAA